TTAAGAAAATTCAAAATAAAAATCATACTGAAACTTATAAGAATAAAAGTTCTTCTCTGTGTTTAGTGGGATTTAAAGATGTTGATCACAATAGTACATAGATCAATTGGTAATGGTAATGTTATTATTAGTCATTTCCCTACAAAGAAACAGTTGGTATTCATTGACTGAGCAGCCAGTACTACTTTTGATTGAGATTTATAAAATCTTTCTCTTAAAACAATTTTTCAGGAATCTTTTTTCAAGAAAATAGGTTGTTTAGGTCCACTAGTTGTTATTGCTCTTTCCAGTAGTGATGGATGTTTTCTTCCTAACCTTTTATTAGAAGTAGTACAGAATGTTAACATCTTGACAATGTCATTATTTTCTCTTTGAGTTAATGTGATATCCATTTTAGTTGTTGCTGTTAGTAGTCCTCAAGTAGTTCTGTTATCTAGTACAGTTCTTTGTTTGTGATTCTCTAGTGCCAGTCCACTCGGTCTAAAAAAAGATGATCTTTGTCAAGACTGTTAAGCTTCACTCACTCAGACTTTTTTAACTGTTCTAGTTCCACATGCCATGTTTAATGGATGTCAGTTATCAATTATCTCCTGTTAATTTCTCTCTGAAAGTTTTTCACTGCCTTAACCGGGTATTGAACTCACACTCTTTGGATCCTGTCACTGGATCTAACTCACGCCTTTATCCACTGTACCATGTGTCCTTGAGGACACATGGTACAGTGGATAAAGGCGTTAGTTAGATCCAAAGAGTGTGAGTTCAATAACTGGTTAAGGTGGTGGAGAACTTTGAGAGGGGAATTAACAGGAGATAACTGACATCCATTAGACATGGAACTAGAACAGTCTACCTCAGTGAGCGAAATAAAGGGTTCTGATCAACATTCCAACCACCTGAAGAAGGCAACAGCTGAAACATTGTAATAAATATGGCGACAAAAATGAGGACAATAGTCCGAATAATGTAAATAATGTACATAATATCGCATCTTAGAAATATAGACAGTCCCACAGTTTGTAGAATATAATCTATTTGATCTATTTTAGCTGTATTATTACTCTTGTTTTATTTCAGCTTGGTAGCAGCATCAGGTAAGCTTCATAGCTGCCAGGTTGAATATGTAATTTCTTTTAGTGAACTTTTATTGTTTTAGCATTACGTTAAAAAACCTTTTTAGTCCATACAGGTACTAACTTTTGCACTAATCATATAAGTCAGTCATATGTAGTATGATTCTTTTCTCTACTGTAGATAACTTTCAAATTCAGTAATTTATATTGGTTTAGAAATATTCTATATTGTTTCTGATTTTGATATTTTGTAATGTTTTTAAGAATTGTTGGTTGTAGGTGTTTTTACTTTCTTATTTGGTTTAATTAGAATGATGACCATTTCTTATTATATTCTATCGTAGAATTTTAAAGTGTCTTGCCTTAATCTAAGTATCACACTTTGTTTATTTGATCTGCTTCATTTGAGAAAATCAGAAAAAACATTGTGTTACCCTGATCAGACTGCTATGTAACTATGTCTTGTAATTTCTGAGAAGATAATTTTTTCTGGTTCTGGCATTAGATTCAGCCTATTCTTATTTTCTTATTTATATTTATTATACTGCATTCATTTCTTTTTTTTTTAAATCCTTTTGATTCATGTGCAAGCTAATTGCATTCAAACAATTTTCTATATTAATTTTCTTGCTGGAACCAGAAATGAAATAAGCTATTTAGACTTTGTGATATAGATAAATAAAAAATATATATTCATAGTATTATTATTATTATTATTATTAAAAATATAAAAAGTTTACAATCCTTATCAAAGATTGTTTTAAAATCTCCTACTGATTCACTCATCAGGGTTTAGACAAAAATGTTGTATTATTCACAGAATATTTTTTAAACATTTATTATATAGGCTAAATAAATTTTCACTTTAAAAATTTTTGGCACTAACAACTAGTAATCACATAACTTTATTACAATAACTGAAAATATAAATATTTTTCTTATTTTTTATTTTATATATATATTTATATATTCCTAATTAAAATATAAGCAATTCTAAATCACTAGTTATTTAAATAAATAAATACTTATTCTAATGTCTATTCATTTTTATATAAATTATATAATATTATTGACAATGAGCAAATATGAAACTAAAATTATAACATGAAAAAAATATTCATATTTAAGTTTTTTTATTATAAAAACTAAGAGAGTCAATATTTTTATGATTATTTAAAATTATAATGGATAAAGATATATATTTTCTTATATATATATATATATAATGGAGTAATGGATAGCAGCTTGAATTGAGGAATCGGAGAGTCGAGTTCGAATTCCAGTCAAATCCATTACATTCACTTACATGCTAATACCCTTGGGAAAGGTGTGAATCCTCTTCTTCTCCCTCCAGCTATGGGTAAATAGCAGAACAGACTGAGTTCTATAGCCTTGGATGGCAATTGGTCTAGGAGAAGGACAACTCTGAATTCAAAACCTGCGGAGGGTCGTTTGGGGAACTTGTGGCACTTGGTGCACCTGGTTCCTGTATTTGGCCTTTCAAAAAGTGTGGATGGTCCTGCATGAAACCTTCACCACTATAATCAAATCATATGTGCTGTTGTCGGGCTGTCAGTTTCCTGGGAACTGATCTGCTTGACCCTTATACGTCGAATTCGACGGGAGAGTCGACTATATATATATATATATATATATATATATATATATATATATATATATATATATATATATATATGTCCTATAGTGTTGATGGTAACCAGTCTACTGCAGAAAAAATAGCAGCTTTTTTGTGGTAAATCTTCTGTGTTAACTCTTCTGTCATGAAACAAGAGACATGATTGCTCATGTGTGTATCATATATAGCACTTGATTTTAATGGATAAAATATTCCTGCATGACAGTTTACTACAACTGATTACTAACTGAAATATTTCCTTGAGGACATTTTTATTTCTTAATTAAGCACATATTTAGATCACCTGTTATAAATAAGTTTTTTTCTTTTTTACAAATATTTGCGTGTTTATGTTTGTGTTCATTTTTAGGTGAAGAAGACTTAAATTTCTTTTCATATTGAAATTTTTCAGAATAAATTGCTATGTTTGCATATATATTTCATTATTTAAGAGTTTTTAAATCAAATAAGAAGGCATTAAAATGTATATTAATATAATAAAATATAGAACAATTTTATTAAAAATATGTGAAGAAACTAATATAAAAATTAAAGTATATATATTTTTTCTAGTTTCTTGAAATAGTGTTCCATATGAAACTAACATTTATAATATGGAATCTGCCTTCTTTGTTACTTTAAGTTTATTTTCTTGTTACATTGATTTGAAACTTTTCTAAAGAAATCAGCCAACAAATAATGTCATACTCAAATCACAGGTCTTTTGATACTTTCTAAATTTTCATATAAAATTGTAGGAATAATCAGATTCTGTATTCAAATTATCAAAATTAGTTGCTATTTTTTTTAATATTCCTTCTTTTTCTCAATGCATTTTTATTTTCACTCCTTTTTCCTTGTTCATTCTTTTTCTGTCAAGATAATGTCTTTTTATTTATTATCTTTAAAGATTTTTCATCTATATTTTTTCTTGTTTTTATGCTTTACCTGTTTTTATGCCATTTTTTATTTTTTGAGAGCCACTGCATGTTTTAAATAAATATACTGAAATTCTTCTTACATTTTATATTTATTCCTTGCAAATTCTCTTAATTCTTTCAAAAATATTTTATTTAAATTAAGCCTCATTTACTACTCATAATTTCTAGGATCTTTCATATTCATTTCATGTTATTTTCAATTTTTATTTTTTTTATAATTTCTAGAAATTTTGTCAAATAATAAATTTATTATCTTTTCTAAATTTTCCTTTTTTTCCCTTCAAACATCTTTGATCATTATTAAAGGATTTATACTCAAATATCCTTAAAACTTTTAAAAATATTTAAGATATTTTATCTTTACATTTTACTGTGTTCCCAACTTCCTTACTGTTCATTCTAACTTTTGCTAAATTTTTTAAGATACTTGATCATTTACAGTTAAATTACACAAGAATAAAATTTACATTTTCAATCACTTTTCACACTTAGTTTCTAAAATAAATTCCTATTTATTTAAATGTATTGAAGTGAATTATCTTCTTTAAGCTAATTGACCTCATAAAGCTACTTTTTGTTGTATATATGTTCAGTTTTTTTTTTTGACATGAGAAAAAATTGCATTATATATTTGTGTCATAATTTTTACTTATTTATTTTCCTTATAAATTTTTCCAATTATTTCTTTTATTTTCTTCATTAAATACCAGTCTTTTCACTATTAAGTAAATAAGTTCATTTTAGCAAGAAGATGAATATATTCATGGTTTTTATTTTAAACACAATGTTTTAATTTGACTATTCTTTAGTTTATTTATATGGAATTTTGTGAATAGATTTAAAATTCAAATATGTTCAAAACAAAAAATGAAAGTACTGGTCTGTATAATCTATAAAATAATGACAGTACATCTTAAATCTACAAACTATACTTAAATTTAGTTCATATTATGATACATTTATGATTGACTGATATTATAAAGTAATAAATTTAAAAATGTAGATTTGCACATGCATACAGCAGAGATTTATTTACTGCTCTAATGCATAATTAGATTATGTGTCTGTATGCAAACACATTAGTGAAATACCCAACAATGGTGAAAATAAAGAATTCTCATCTTTAAACCAGAACTCTGGAAATACTGTGAAAAATGTTATTCTGGTTAAAAGTTTAAAACATGTGTTAATATTCATTTATAAATAATTATATGTAAATTTCATTATTTAATCAGATGTCTTCAAATCAGGCAAACTAAAAAGATATACATATTTAAAATATCAAAATATATTGTTGAAAATTGAAAATCTATAGAATTTTAATTTCTCTTTTTCTGTATTTTTCTTTTACAGAGCTGGGAAAAATGAACGTTTATTAGATATTAAGGAAGGGAATGATGTTATTGGAGATAGAATATTAGAAGAAACAGTTGACCGGATAGCTATTGGAGGGTCATCAAAAATCCATCCCATTGTGAAAGGTAAGAAATGAATACCTAAATTTTCTTGCTGTAAAAATATATCTTTTTTTTTTTTTTTAAATATGGCTGTTTATTAAAAATTACTTTGATACTCTATACTACTCACAAATTTTAAAATGTTGAGTCATTAATATAGAAATATTTACTCAAATAAATAACAAGTAAAAGTTCAAATAAATTAATATTGTTATTTTTAAATAATATTAGATTTTTAATTATTTTTTAAATTTCCAAACATCCATCATTCAGACAACTCTATCTATCAACAGGTTCCAAACAGTCATACATAAAGCTCAGTGCCAAACAGTTCTTCCCCACTCTTGATATAACCAAGAGCACTATTTACTTATGACAATAACAATAAAATGATTTGTATCTAACAACAGGCAAAAGAAAGAAAACCATTTCAGTACTGGATTTTTAAAAAGATTACAATATAAAAATTTAATAATTGAGTTTTTACTTGAATATTGTATTAGCTTTTTATTTCAGCTACAAATTTGTAAAATCAATCATGTTACTCATTAAAAATGTTTCTGGAGCCAAAAAGAATATTACAGAACTGTTTTTTCAAGAATGTGTGAATGCATACAAAAACATAATGAAGGCACTTGTGTTTTGTCATATCAATTTTTTAAAATATCAACACAATGAATACTTGTAAATATCTACTTTTAAAAATATGCACAAAACAAACAAAAATACTATAATTTTACAAGTATGAGAAATGTATTTAGTGTTAAGCATGGATGAATGAAAATTCAATTAAAAGTGGAATTTAACCCTTTCACTATGTAATTAAATTTCATGCTCATTCTCATAATTATGTTAATTATCCAACAAAAAATAAAAACAAATATCCATTTCTCGCAGCATAAGAAGAGGTTTTTCCAAAACCGTCTGATAAATCTGCTTTCTACAGTTGATGGTAATAAAATTTTGAGTGGAAACATTTGCTTTCTGTGACAAAAGGGATTTAACCATCAATTTTATCTTTTAACTAAAATTTGTGACAGTAAGTTTTAATGCTCAGTGTTTAATGATCAAGAATTGATGTGAGTATTACTAAGTAGGAATATGATATGTATAATAAATATGTAATTTTTATTAAAAATAATCCAATGTTCTTTTACATAATTTGTATGCTTAAAGATTTACGAGTATTTTAGAATAACATTAAACATATATGAAAGGGTGCTGAAAAGTTATTTGACCCGCTTCTAAAATCAAGACAAATGCCTAATCATCAGAATTTCCTTTTGTAAAGTCTTCTAGGTTAGGCCAAACCTTTTCAGTCTCCTCTCATATATATATATATATATATATATATATATATATATATATATATAAGAAAAACAGACCACTTTAAGGTTCCATTATAATAATTTATTTCACCAGAGCCCTTTTAAAGGATGACGGATCATCAGGTCAAGGTCTGGTCACTCCTCCTCCCCCAATACTAAGTATGATTGAGAGAGATATTAAATTAAGCCCTCCCTAAACTCTACCATGTCTCTCTAACCACTCCTTATTACACTCTCTGTTAAATTACAAAAACTTACACTACCCATCAATTTTCATTTCATTTTTCGTTTCATTTTTTGGAAGTGCTATCTGATGATATGGCGTCCTTTAAAAGGGCTCTGGTGAAATAAATTATTATAATGGAACCTTAAAGTGGTCTGTTTTTTTTAAAATATTAGCTCTGGATTTATATTGAGCTCTCAGGATTTCATCCTCCTTGGGACTACCCATACAGATTACCAAGTTTTTTTTCATAACATATATATATATATATATATATATATATATATAACAAAGTGGAGAAAATTTTAAGCTAAAATTTGAAGGATGAATTTGCTCTATCACTTGTGACATTGTTCTAGTATATAAAAATTATATATCATTTTATCCCATATATATATATATATATATATATATATATATATATATATATATAATGTGTGTGGGTTAGGGTTAGGGGTTATATATATATATATAATGTGTGTGTGTTTCATTAAAGAAAGAAAGATATCGACATAAAATTATATTAACTATTAAACAAGGCAAAGGCAAATTCTCTCCTTGATTTTAAATGCATATTATATAATTACTGCCTGGATTTCTGAAGTTAGCATTATTTACATGTGGACTATTGCTGTCATATTTGTTGTTGTTATCACGGCATTTTGGCCATTGTGCTCTTTGGCCTTCATGGGGTTTGTTGATCTAGATAAACTAAAGGGAATTTCAAACTAAACCCTATATTTAATCTATGGGTGTAAATTGTTCTTGTTCCACTGCCCATGTCTTGGGATATCTCATCTAGTTCTTATTTAGTACTGCTCAGTTATTACTTACTCCATTTCCACTGAGTCAAAGTACACACTGCCAAGATTAAAATCGCAATTACTATGTCACCAAATTCATGAACCATCACTAGACTATTGTCCCATGGGAAAATTCTGTGTGGCTAACTTGTAGTCTTAAACCTAGCATACCTGTAGATGAGTGTTGCTGCTTGTCATACTTCTCTTTGTTCTATCTCCTAAAGACCTGCCGCCATTTGTCATTCTTTATTAGTGATTTGCATGACATATATATGCAAGTTCTATTAGGAGATTCTCATAGTCTAGCATATGTGCTGCTTCTTTCAGATGTCTAACTCTCCAGTGTTCTTTCTTATCCAGCATTGTCACTTCATTCCACAGGAGTTGATGACTATTATTTTTCCCTCCATACATGATTTCATTATCTCACTCTCTCACTGGGGCTTTTCAGTGTTCCTCCAGCCTTACTTTTAAGAGTGGCTAGTTTCACCTTTATATTTTTTGTTACAACTGCAAGTACACACAGTTCTTGGTCATGTTCTCTCTCATGTTAGGCTTCACTCAGCAGAGGTTCTCCATAGAGTGAAATTGCTTCTAAATATTGTCCTCATGTTGTATGATTCTTTTTTTCTGATAAGCACTTGATGTAAGGCAAACAGATTGTAGCAATCTTCTGTTTTCCCCTGCATACACTGATGCTATATTTGCAGAGTAGGTGTTATTCTGAAGAGTATGCTTGATGCTGATCATTTCCTGTTGGTATATGTACCTGTTGACACTTATGATTTTTGCACAGTGTTATAGGCATCAGACAATCCTTTTCTTAACAATGTATGGATGGTGGAAATTGGAGTAGTATTATCCAGTGAAGGTTGGCTTGTGATATATAGATGTGTTGAACCCATCTCTGTATAAGTTATTAGTACATTCAGGAAAGCAAGCTGATTATTTTTTTCCTTTTTTCATTGTGAAGTGGATCAAAAGTCTTATTGAGTTCACATGGTCTAGCAGTATTTGTACATATTCCTGTGAGGCCAGAGTATGGTGGTCTGTTCCTAAAGCCATTTCTTCAAAGTATTCCATGTATATGTTCACCATCAATGGTGACAACAATAAACCCATAGCCAAGCTTTCCACCTGTTGGTATATGTCAGACTCTAGCTAGAAGAATGTTACCTGCATACAGACATTTCCATCAGATTTTTATATGAATGTTTATGCATCCTCCAAAGGAGGGGTCTGTCAATCTATAGGAACTCTGGTGAACAGGCTCACCACATCCAAGCTTGCTATTTGATTGTTATGGATGGGAGCCCCTCAGATCAAATTCACAAAGTATTTAGAGTTCCTCAGCAGGTGGCATGCCAAGCCCTTGCAGCTAACTATAGGTATCAATGAAATACCAACTTTGTGAATCTTGGGAAGATCATACATATGTAGCAGCTTGGTGTAACATTGAGTCAGCTGTCTATACCTATTCAGTCTGAGGTTGTCCTTGTTCTTATTTAGGATCTGTTACAGCCTCCTTTCAGTTTTTAGGGTCAGATCCTTTTTCACTTGCTATAGCTGCCATCCCCAATTATATATTATATAATATTATATTTCTTGTTATTCCATCCAACATGTGCATCTTGGTTACCATATTCACAACATTACTGCTACTGTAACGTCCAATTTTCTTCAATGTGCAAATATTGTTGGACTATGTGAACTCAATAAGATCTTCCAAACAGTTTTCAATGAAAAAAAAAAAACTAACTGGTTTTCTTTTCAGAGTATGGGTTCAATATATATATATATATATATATATATATATATATCTTGAACCCATACTCTGTAGTTCACTGCTACTAACAAGCAGAGATTTTTTTCTCCTGATGATGGCCAAGACCCTACTGAATTGGTCAGTCATGTAACAGATTGAACTAATAATGATGATATGTAAACATAAGAAATCATAAATTATTGGAAAACTAATTCCAATTTTCCCCACACACACCTGACCTACCTTATTAGAATATAGGTTCCCTAACCACGGCCACCCCCTACTCCACACTTTTTTCCTATTTCTACCTTCAGCCATTTCTTACCCACCTCCTCCATAGCAGTTTACCAACTACATCTTCAACTTTAAATTTCAAATTTTCTTACCCCACTCATATTGCACTAATTTTTTACCTCCCTTTAACCCATAACGGTTTACCCACCATGCGAACCCAACGAATTTAATTTTCAAATTTTAAATTAGTAATTAACTTTTTCTTTCCCTCACACTTTTTTACTCCCCTCATATTTCGCTAATTTTTTCCAAGAAATGTAAACCACCAGCATCGCATTTAACACACTCCTGTGCAACTTTATTTTTTATACACTACGTAGCAGTGAAACTCCCATAGACCCTGTGCCTGATGAACTGGGAACACTACCCAGCAATACTATATATGTCAAAAAACGTAGTCACGCGTATATGTACTAATTAATACATACATATATATATATATGCATATATGTATATATGTATGTATATATATATAAGCCAACATTCACTGGACAATAATTCCCACCATCTATGCTCTATAGAAAGGGATTTTCTGCACCATCAGACCAAATACAAAAATGATAAATCAGACACATGCCAAAAAGCGATGATCAGCATTAGAAACACCCTGCTGGGTAGCAACTTTCTTGTAAGCATGACATCAGTTTCCACAAACAAGAAGGGAATAGTTAAGGACAACAATAAAATAATCAATCTACCATAGATTGTCTACTATAAGATATCTTTTTAGAACCAAACCCCCTCCAGGGAAAACATGACCAAGAACTGTGTGTGTATTCCATCCTATACAATTGTAGCAAATAATGAAATTCATAGACCAGCTGTTACCTAATAGAAAGTATCAAATTGCTGTAGTACTGGGTGAGTTATTTAAGTTAGACATGGCTGATCATATATAGAGGGTGATCATTAACTCCTGTGGAGTTATGTCAGAATACATAGAACAATACTGGAAGTTGAGATAATTGAAAAACTCAGCACACATGGGAGCCTTAAAAAAGAACACTCAAAAAAGTTCAACCCCCTGAGTCTGGATATGCATGCACTCTCATCACCTTAATATAGACATTAGATTTAAGGCCCCAATAATTAGACCATTCAGTTGTCCAATTGACACATAGCTTGGTGGATTAAAGTGTTAGTTAAAATATAACTGATTCCCTGTGAGTTCAGAATCTAATTTTTTTGTGTGTGATACTTGACAAGTTCCAATCATAAAAATCCCAATCTGGGCTTTGAAATTGTCACAGAATTGGATTCACCTAAGTTCACTTTCATAGGAATTTTCATGTTTAATGTTGACTTCCAAAATCACTGATAATTCAAGAACCCAAATAAAAAAAGAAATTACAATAATTTTTTCCACTAGAAAATAAAGAATAACACTTCATGGATACCCCTTTTGATTATCTAATGCTTTTTTATATGAATTTTTATGGAAACATTTTATAAAACTTAACATGCTCAATGATTTCTCTTTCATGATTACAATAAAAATTAAACAACTCTTACTAATGTTTTAGAGTTAAAATATATTGTAAATATTTACTTGATTTTAGAGGATAATGCAAAAATCTGGAAACTGTATTAGTTTGCTTATGCTCAAATGAAATAAGAAAAATTCAAAAATCTTTCCTAAGTTTAATATATATTTAATGGCTAAAGTTAATACCTGTGTGTTTAATTTGCAGTATCTTCCTTATTTCTTGCTTTTTCTCTTTCCTTGAATTTCTACCCATTTCAGATGATCAAGAAGGGGATACCTTACATACCTTACATATGGGAAAGTCCAAAATCCCCAGACCCACAAACAAAACAGGCTATCAGATGTTGACATCATTGTGTTCTGATGTCACAAATAAACCTCCAAAATCAAAACACATGCAGGTAAAGCTGATTTTTTTAATATTATTATTGCTATTCAAATGAAGAGTTCTATACTCTTCTAAATTTGTGAAACTATATGATTCTTTATTCAAATGAATTGTATAAAAATACATTTAAAACAGTTTTCACTGTTTGTTTCTTTTGATCTTTTCATTCTTTGATGTTATTTCTGCTTATAGTAACAGTAAAGGTATTTTTAAAATATTCAATCTTTTTACTGTAAGCCTGATGATACAGTGAAAGATGAGAAAGCAGTAGTAGACAATGTTTGCTGAAAGGAAAACAAATGAATGAAAAACTTTTCATCAAAATAAGGTAGAGAAGAGAAGAAATATTTTTTATAATTTTTTTTCATTTTCATAACAGTTAAATTAAAAAATGAATACATTAATGCCACAAAAAACCTTTGAATAGGAAAAGATTATTTAGGTTATCTCTTAAATACTTCCACAAAACAAAGAATCATAATAAAACATTTTCAACAACTCCAAAACCAAGTTTACTTTGGTTGGTAAGCTACCTCCCAAAATTCTGAATATTGTTTTTTTTTAGCAATTATAACTTTAAATCTCTTCTTGATAGACAAGCTTTAAATTTTCATGGAAAATTATTTTCTCTTTTCTTTCTTTTTCCTCACATTAAACAGCTACCTTTTAATATAGGATTTTTAAAAATATTTTAACCAAAATAAAACCTCCACAGTCCTTCAGTTGTATTTTCAAATCTTTTCATTCTTTGAATGTATTCTTTAAATAAAAAAACTTGTTTAAAGAATTTTGTGTTTATAAACACTATAAGTACTTAATAAAAATTTCATATTTGTAATTAAATTTTGTAATGAGCATTATGGCAAAGAACACATCAGTTTTACATGTTTATTTTAAAATTTGCTTGTTTTTATAATTTGCAAGTTTTTAACTTAAATTTTACAAGGTATTTTGTGGCAGCACACACACATACGCACACACATATATATCAGGTGTTCAGGATGATGGCTGATTATTATTATTATTATTATTTAATATTATTATTATTTCTATTTTTACACTGCAGAAATTTGGATATGATTTTTTGCACTTTCTTTTACTTTTCGTTTTTTAAGTTGAGTCTAAGCTTCTACAATGGTTGTTATCTTTGTGTATCCCAACAAGTGAAGAATGAATAACAGCTCTACAAAGATGATTGCAATTTTTTCTTTTTTTTAACTCCCTTTCAGTGATGCATCCATTTGACACAGAGGCAGTTTATGAGTAAATAAACATAAATTTATATTTCTTACATATATCCCAGAATGTAAAAACCTTTTATTATCTTTTCCTTTGATGATTTAATGAATCTTATAATTTATTTCAAAATATCCATAAGAATTAGAATATTTTTATTCAAAAATAATTTAAATCTAGACTTTCAAATTAAAATCTTGTTAGATTTTGTCAGGTGCAATTCTCAAGTTTTATTCAAATTTTTTTTCAAGTTTTAAATTTGATTTTTCTTAGGATACTAAAAACTGTATTTTTATGCTTTTTTCTGTTTCCTATCCATTTTCATACAGATATGTCATACACATAAATATATAAATATGTGCATTTGAGAACATCTTTATACATATAATTTGTATGCATAGATTATCTTTGAATATGCATCTCAACACAAAATTGTAAATATTAATCTGTATCTGTTTACAGATACATAACAAAAGTAAATCAAAGTAAAGTACTTTTATTTAATATAGATAAAGAATATTATGCAAGTTAAAATTTGGTGAATTTGTCATGGGCAGCTTTGTTAGCTTTTACTCATAAACAATTTGTCTGAACTGCAAACATGTGTAAGATCAAAGTGAGAGGTACTGAACAGAGAAAACAATTTTTTTAGAAGTTTTCTTCTTTAATTCATTAGCCCAGATGCAATAAGATTCAAGTTAGTAAACAGATTTGACTATACTTAATTTTTTTTATCTGTAATTCTTCAATATTTTAGCAATACTGAATAAAAATGTTGTAGCTTTGCCAAAATAGTTTTCAGTGAATATTAAGAGATGTCCCCTCTGCAAAAAAGATATGCATTTTTCTGAATTGATAAAAAAAAATTTAAAAAATTCTGTATTAGTATGCTGAGACTCTTAGAAACCAAGCTAAATGTTCCCCTTAGCTCTTTAGTGTTTCTGGGTATTAATTGTCCTTATAAGATCCACTTCCAGTCCCCATTATTGTAATGGCTGCCAAATGTAATTAAACATATATTTAACCACATCTACATTTGTTATCAATCTGAGCCATCCCTGAGGGCCATTGTATCATAACATTGTGACAGAATGAGGAAACAAGTGTGAAAAATAGGCACAAGATATTTTTCCTCAGATAATCACAGTTTTCAGTAATATTTTGACAAGTGTGGATGACATTTCACACGTTTGGAAAACCCACAGGCTCATGCATATCATCAAGGTAAGAGTAACTTCTTCTATTACTAATTAAATGTTCAGTTCCCCATCATGGAAATTTCGCACATACCCACACCAAAGATAGATTTGTTCAGTCCCAATTTGAGAAAAGAAATGGACACGTCAGGTCATATTTTGATGGACCACTTTGTGATGTGGAAGATGGAGTGAAAATAAATTATCTCTTACTTTGGGCCAGTGCAGAAGGCCAGGAGATAAGTGTAACCTTTGTTTTTTAAAGGAGAGAAGCAAAGAATGTAGATAACTACATTAAATGCTTCAAGGACTGTGTGAGCCCACAATCTAATTTCTGAGTATCTACATATGAACTGATGCAATGCAACCAAGAGGCAAATGAACCTGCCTATGCCTTCCACAAGAGACTAAGGCAGATAATAAAACAGTGTTAATATGACCAACCCCATAGTTGAAGAGTCAAATTTAGTGAATCTATTCATATTTAGGATGTACTTCAAATCGACCCAAAAAACATTATTGAAAAAAGGTAAGGATCTGATTATTGCAATGGCTCTACACATTGCAAAAGTGGAAGAGGCAACCAAAAAACAGGTCGAGGTGTTCCATATTCCAGAGTAGAATGTCAATGCACATGCGGTGCAAACAAATCATGACCTGCAGACTCTGTGGTAGAGAGCACTACAAGGGAGAATGCCCATCAAAGAGTAAAACATGCTGAAAAAAACAAAAACCACTAGATATTCCAGCAACAGGCATAATGGGGAGGCTCATTTTTATTCAATAGCTGCAGAACATCAAAAGAGACACAGCATACCCTTAGGTGCAGCAGAAGCCGATGCAAAATTAAGAATAGGCAGCAAAACAGCCCAGATAAGAATCAATGCAAAAATTGACACTTGAGCTATGAGCAGCCTGGTATCCTTAAGTATCTTCAGACAATTGAAAGACATACCACTCAAAAAAAACACAAGTGCAACTGTTTGCATTTGGAGCTTCTATGTTAGAGCAAGCAGGAGTATGCTTCCTGGGAGTGAGATATTGCGATAGGTTCACCAGCACATGTCGAAATCCAAAGGCCAATTCTGCTGGGGTTGCATACATCCAGAGTTGGGACTAGTGGCTCTCAACTTTGCAATCAAGGAAGATTTCACCTAATGAGGAACAAAGGAAATACTACCTTGACACCAGAAGCAGTTTAGAAGAAGAAACTATCCCTCTGAAAACAAGTCTGAAAGTGTCTGATGGCATTGGATGTCTGCTAGTATAGTATTCCATAAAAGTAGACCCAACAATATCTCCAGTGGTTCCTGTTATCTTAAAGACCAAATTCAAAAGTGAGCCAGACTCACTGGTGATAATGGGCACCATAATCCCAGTAATGAGACCAACCTCATGGGTTAGCTCATTAGTTTGTGTTACCAAAGCCAATGGGTCAGTGTTATGGGTCACAACATAAATAAGAAAAAAAAGAAAAGAAAACAAAAAAAAATGAAGTGGATCAGTTGCCAAGGATATGACCTTGATTCCATTATGATAGAGTATTTCTCTTACAGGGTCAAAAACACATGAATAGAAAACCAACAGAGACAAACCACAAACACAAATGTAAAGTGCAACAAAATTTTAATCATACACTTGAAATAAAGAATATCTGAATGTAAAATATGTATGCAGTGTGGGTGATATGAGTACAAAAAAACACTTAGCTTTTTCAGTTGATTGAAATCAAATACATTTTTTCTCTTATTTCTTTTTTTTCTCTCTCTGTCTCGTTATAGCTTTCTCCTTTCTCTGTTACCTTTTTCAGTTCTTTTTATATAATAACGTCTTATTTTTAATGTGGAAGTAACATTTTTAATGTCTTATTTTCTTGTGGAAGTAACTTTTATATTTTCAGAGTTTTGTCTTTTGTTTTCTCTTCACATATGCAAAAATGTTCTATTATTAGGTTATTCTTTTTCTGCTTTTCCATTGACAGTATTCAACCATGAGCGGTGGTCATTTCTCCTTATATGCTTCTTTTGCATAAGGTTGATTTCTTTTTCATTTAGAAATGATCTTTATTGTGTTGATCATCACTGACTCCACTGAATTTTGGGTGGCATGATGATTTCATGGATGGTCCAGTCTCATCAAGTTTCATTGCCCCAACTAACTTGTTGCATTTCTTTCATGCGCAATTTTGAATATTGAGTCAGGTGACTTTTAGCATCCACGTGACATGGTTGCTAGGAATCACTCCTTTTAGACTCCATGGGCTTTCATTTGACTGCTTTTAGCTTGCTACAGAGAGAGAGAGGGTAATAGTCAAAGAGAAAGAAAGTTCACTCTAACAAATCTCCCTGGATTTAGTGAGCTTTAATTCAGAAGTGTTTGTATAGAATTGTCACAGTCAGTCAGGTTCTTCCTAAACCCCAGAGATCTAAACAAAGCCATACTGTGACCTCATTTTGTGACCCTTACATTCAGGGATGTTGTTTCAAAACTAGAGTGCAAAATGGTTCACCATAGTGGATATCAAGTTGGGTTATTGGCAGATGAAGCTAAACAAAAATATCAAGGGAACTAACAACATTCA